GTTCTTAGATTTCTCATGACAAATTTAGCTACGATGCTGTTACTGATCACTGTGATTACAATTTCGATTAACACACGTTTTTGCCAACTAATTTTCTTCAACACAACTGTCCACTTTCTACCCCTCTCTTTGCGACATTTAGCATCCAAGCTACTAAAAATATATATTAGATTCTGGGGAGCAAACTCACCAAATACATCAGTAGCTTTGATACTATATGTGTTGAAACACTTTATTTCAAATGCCAATCATGCAGAGTCTGCATACCAACAGTATATTTGGGCTGTTAGATAGATGCAAGATATTAAAGTCCTGCAAACTTCTTAACCTTTCAAAAGACTGAAATATGTCTGTGGCTGCAGAGAACTACCAGGCCGATCTGGCCAACATCACATGTGAGATCGCCATCAAGCAGAAGCTGATCGACGAGCTGGAGAACAGCCAGCGGCGTCTGCACACGCTCAAGCAGCAGTACGAGCAGAAGCTGATGATGCTGCAGTGCAAGATCAGGGACACCCAGCTGGAGCGCGACCGCGTCCTTCAGAACATGAGTAAGACCCACAGATCATCCACTAGGTGGCGCATGTGGTCTTGTTTTCAGATGGTGACAGCAATGAAGAAAAATATACATGTTTGATCAGCTCAGAAAAACCCAAATTGAACTCGTTTTGTTCTCCAAATAGACTATAATGAAGCTAGTGTCTGTCAGAAGATGGAAACGGTTTATATTTAGGCTTAAAAACAGTAATAGATCAAACATTCTTCTAGGAATTATTAAAGGGGCAGTATCATGTGTTTTCCAGGCATATAGCGCCATTTTAAATCACGATAAAGTAACTATTGTACCGTCAGTTGTGATAAATATGTTGTACATATCAAATATGACTTAAAAAAATTTTAAATTCTTAATTTAACACATTGAAATAGGGCCTCTATCTCTTTAAGATACTCCTGTTTCTAACACTCCAGCTTCAGGAAGTCATCACAACATGGCTCCTCTATTAACCCTTTAATAATGTTTTTACCACCATTGCACTGAGAAGTAGCTCCTATAATGAGCTCTTATGCTCCACATCACAGCTCCACCAGGTGTTTGCTAATTGCTGCTATAGCTAGTCTGAAGGAGCTTTGTGGAGGAAAGCTATTCTGTAACACGGAGCTTGGAAACTGCAGCTCTGAGGAGGAGCTTCATCCTCAAAGGGGGGGCTAGGTCTATCCAGGTGTTTGCACAGATGAATGGTTGCCATAGAGATTAAAGTATTTGTCAAACATACATAATAAAAAAAAATCAAATCAACACCCAGGGTATATTTTTGATGAGGGAATAAGATTATAACATGATATAAAACTAAAAAACTCTGTATTTTACAAAATACATCACCTTTAAAATAAGCGATTGTGTAATGCACCTTTAAAAAGCTTGTCAGCCTGTCCTTTTTGTAATCCACCTTTCTTGTTTGTGCTGGACGTTTAAAGACTCTGTGGAAAGTGGCACAGAGGACAAGGCTCGTAAAATCAAGGCTGAATATGAGAAGAAGCTGAGCGTCATGAACAAGGAGCTTCAGAAGCTCCAGTCGGCTCAGAAGGAACACGCCCGCCTGCTGAAGAACCAATCACAGTACGAGAAGCAGCTGAAGAAGCTCCAGATGGATGTGACTGAAATGAAGAAGACAAAGGTACAGCTTTTTTTTTCAGGTGTAGATTTTCTTGCCATGCATTATGTAAACTTTAGTGTGTTCTGATATTTTCAGGTTCGTCTTATGAAGCAAATGAAGGAGCAGCAGGAGAAAAATCGACTGAATGAGTCGCGCAGGAACAGAGAAATTGCCTCTTTGAAAAAGGACCAGCGAAAGCAAGAGGTCAGCTTTCTCACTTCTGTTTTAATGCAACTCTGCTGCAGCAACATGAAACAATGTAGGAAATGCTTCAGTTTTTTTAACCACTTCTGCTGATAACGACACTGTTTCTCCTTCAGCATCAACTAAAGCTGCTGGAGGCTCAGAAAAGGCAGCAGGAGCTGATTCTGAGGAGGAAGACTGAGGAGGTGAGGAGAGAGAGAACAAAAGGTGGAAGATTAACAGGCTGGCGGGGGTGGGGGGGTTCTTCCCTGCTGTGATTGGTTATGTATCAAGCATGTAGTTGGTTAACTTTTCAAAGAGGTTTGCATATAATTTAGAAAATGCAGTCCCACCAAATTTTTATAAAAGCTTTACAGACCAAAATTTAGTTTTAATTTAATGGTAGAATCTTAAGATAAAAAATAAAAGAAATCCAACTTTGAATTTTAATGCATTTATTTAGCAGGAAAAAAATTCCTCTGTAAAAATGTTTATTCATATCAAGGCCAACAGTGCTGCTAATACTTGGTGAGTGTGCCAGAGTTAAAGGGGCAGTAGCCCAGGGCGCCAACTTTTAAGGGGAGTCCCTAACATTTTTTTTTTCCACCTGTTTTTTAATGAATGCATATTTTGCAAAGACTACACTTTGTATAAATCTCATAGGCCCAAATCATGAGTTGTATCATTTTGATATTTTATTAATATAAACAATAATCAAGTATTTCAAAATCATGAAGTTATAATAATAGTTTATTTACATAGAACATTTTTAAGCAAATGTTGCGAAGTGCTTTACATTCAAAGAAATCTATTAAAACAGCATCATAAATCATTCTAGAAACACAAAATGTATACCAAATCAATATTATATTCAGTTTCTTTGAGAATAACATGGAGCTATTGGCTAGAAGATATATTAAACCAACAATGTATCAGCGCATACCTACTGATTTATAGTATTACATAAATCATATACTGTAATTTACATTTGTAAGTGGATAAGGCACCCAAACTGTCTCCAGCCCAGGGGCCCACATCCTTTTAAATCCGGCCCTGCTTAGTATTGTCCTCTTTCGCCAACTTGTAGCGATCCCATGTTGCATCAGCTCATATCTGGCATGTGTGTGTTTGTCAGGTGACTGCTCTGAGAAGGCAGGTGAGGCCCACCTCAGGTAAAGTGGTCCGGAAAGTCAACCTTCCGGAGGTTCAGGACTCCAGCCACCGCCCGCCCTCCGGACGCCTTTACTCCTCCAGCAGCACGGCTGCCAACGGCACATGGTGAGGCTACAAATGGTTCTTAGGTTCCTACTAACAAGATATAACTGAACCTGAATATGATTTCATCTAATCAATACAGTACCCTCTTTTAACTTTTTCATATATTATCATTTTATAACCACAAATTACATTCGACACATTTCCACCAAATAGTGCATTATCGTGACGTTTAAGGAAAATGATTCACATTTCTTCTCTTTTAAAAAAAGTTTCAAGCTTCAAATTGAAGTGTGTCTTTATACTGTATGTACTGAGGAGCCTGAATGACTGACGGCCGATGCCGTGTGTCCAGGTCCTCCTACAGGCGCACAGCTGGTGTTTATTCCACCAGAGTCGCTCGTAACAAATGGCAGACCCTGGAGCGGCGCATCTCAGACGTCATAATGCAGAGGATGACCATCTCTAACATGGAGGCCGACATGAACCGTCTCCTCAAGGTGAAGTCATGACGCACCCAGTGGGATGTTTTATTTCAGCTTTGGTTTTAAATGAAGCTGACAAGAGCCAGAACACCACCTGTGGGTTGTTGAAAGTTTAATACATCCTTTAAAAGTCTTAAATTCATGTATCTAAAATTAAAGTCTCATGTCTGAAATTCATTTAAAAAGTTGGCCTTAAAAGCGTTAATCTTAAATTTTGTCATGCCAGGACTATTTAATCCAGCATATTCCATGTATTTCTTTTTGTTTTTTTTCTTAATTTTCTTTTTTTTTTCAGGCAAAAGTTTGAGTCACACTCAACCTCAAAACTGTTGCGTTTACTGGTAACTCACTGCTATCAGACCCTTGCTAGCTACTTAGCTTTTTTTTTTTACATCTAACATAGGTGTGTGCTAATTTATCACTAGTTGTCTAGGCAACATTTATTTATTATTGTGGAGATAAATCTTAAATTCACTCATAATGGTCTCTAAAAATCTTAAATTCAAGTTGGTGAAACCAACAGAAACCCGGTAATAGCTTTGCTATCTTTGTTGTTAATAAAGTAAAAGAGGACATGATGCATTACATTAGGTTGAAGGTTATTATAAGACTGTGTAAAAGTTCTCTTAATATAGCAGGCTCATCAAAGACCCGCTGCTTGATGCAGTCCTGTTAAATTTTCTTTTTAAAGCATATGTTTAAATACACTTGGTATGTGTTGGTGACAACTCAAGACACATCCGTTTCAAAGTTCTGCTATTTTTAATGGCCAGACTGATTCATGTGAATTTTGTAAAATTGTTCTTGTTTTCAGGTCCGTATAGTAAAAAAATAGGCTTAAAACATATTAGCACTCTAATTAGCGCTTTCGCTAACTTTCAAAATGCTTTAGCATTAGCAAAACTAATGATTAGTGTATTATGATTTAAAAATAGAATGAAAGGTAAAACAATAAACAGTTGAATCATCTGATATCTTTCATTTCTGCTCTTCCCCATCAATTCCAACATTGATCACATTCAGAAGTTGTTCTATAAATAGACTTAAATAACTGTTAATATTTTCAACACAGCAACGAGAGGAGCTGACGAAGCGAAAGGAGAAGGTGATCAGGAAGCGGGACCGGCTGTTGAGAGAGGGTCTGGAGGCAGAGAAGACCGTGCTCCCTCTCAACGAGGAAGTGGATGCTCTGACCGCCAACATTGATTACATTAATGACAGCATCGCCGACTGTCAGGCCAACATCATGCAGATGGAGGAAACCAAGGTAAGAAGGGCTGCTGGCTCTGAAGAATTTTTGGAGGAGTTGAGTCGAGGCTTTTGAATAGCCTGAGTATCTACATTGGAGGCTTTATTAGGCCAAACTGTACTTAACTAGCCACATAAATACTAAAGCCTGCTTAGGACTTATTTGCTGAAGAATCAGTAATTCAAAATAATTAAAGTAAATAAGTTTTTTTGCAGGAGGAGGGTGACACAGTGGACGTCTCTGCTGTGATTGGTTCTTGCACTCTGGTTGAAGCTCGTTTCCTATTGGATCATTTCATGTCCATGGCAATTAACAAGGTACCGCCCCTCACCTTAACAGGAGACACCAAACCTGCTTTGTTAGCTGTAACTATATGTAAAAATAGTTGATCTTAATGTGGTGATTTAAGACTGTTACGACTGGCTCAGGGTCGTAACAAAAACATGAAACCATGCCGTGGTTAAAGTGCACAAACATAAGGCTTTATTAACAAAACAACAATGGATTGTGGAAATCAGCATCAGTGGTGTAATGTGAATGCTTGGATGTGTTGTGTGAATGCATGTGGAAATGTTGAAGTGCCAAAACAAAGACAAAATCAAAGGTGCAACAAAAGGGAAACTGAGGACTGGCCACCAAACATCTCCAGCGGCAGAGTGGACGCTGCGGAAAGCCAGCGACACTGAAGTCGGGGACAGCCAGGTTAAAATACTCTGCACGCCCAATCACCAGATCCGAGTCACCTGCAAAGGGGAGGAGCATAAAGACGGACACCAAGACACCTGCAAAACAGCCCACAAGGCCCAGGGCCGTAACAAAGACATTCAAGCATAATAATGTATCAGGCCAATATGCTTTATAACCTATAATTTTCCATATGCTGGTGGAGATTTTCAGGCATTTAGGACATGATAGTTCTCTTTAGACATTGAAGAAGTTTTTTTAGATCTTCAAGTAACAAGAAAAGTCGTCCAGTTGGTTTCTAGATTTATAATTTAGGTGGATACAAATGTGTGCCTACGATAGAACCATTGATTTCTAAAGACAAATCAATAGGTTTTTATTTTATTTAAGGGTAAATAAAAAAAAAACGGTGGTTAATGTAAAGGGTATGACCTTTCCAGGGTCTACAGGCGGCTCAGCGGGAGTCTCAGGTGAAGGTGATGGAGGGCCGCCTGAAGCAGACTGAAATCACCAGCGCCACACAGAACCAGCTGCTGTTTCACATGCTGAAGGAGAAGGCCGAGTTCAACCCGGAGCTGGACGCTCTGCTGGGAAACGCTCTGCAAGGTACAACAAACCCTCACCTTTAATCTGACTAGCTCCAATTTCATCTTAGAAAGTAGGACGCTGACATGTTTGTTCATTTCTCAGGTTAGTTTTAGAAAGGCTTTTGTTCTTTCCGGAAGAGGATTGGGTTGCTGGTCAGCTGCATGTTTGAACCGTTGGAGAGATGTTCTTGCCTGTTGCCATCTGCTGAACAGAAGCTGGCCTTATTAGTTTCTGATACTACAGCAGAAAAAAAAAAACATTTCTGCACTGCTCTACCTATGGTTTTTTTCATGTTTGTATTTTGCCAGCCTGTTCAGTAGTATGCTATATTTAGTCTAGCCACTTTTACTCCTGAATTTTGCTTTTGTTTTTTACTGGGGGATTGTTTTTTGATTTGTGCACTTTTGTTTTCCCCCATGTTTTTCTTTTTTGCTTTCTCATGTTTTCACAGAGCTAGGTAACTTCCCAGTTGGTAAGTGAAATCACATTAGACCCTAATGCTCCTTATGAATGCATGGTTCCTACTTTTGGCATTTTTTTTTTGAACTAACTAAACTTAACAGAAGCAGGTGCATGAGGTGCAGTGCAGCCAAGCTTCCCTACAGTTGCCAGCTGACCCTCCTCCCCCTGTTCCTTAATTCAGACACACTCCTCCTCCCCTCCGTCTCCCTTCCAGCTGATATGTGCTACGGCCTCCATGCTTTAGCACCTGCTAACCCTGGTGCAGACACGTTTTACAGGAATAACTACGTGGATCGTTTCAGATCTCTCCAGTCTCAACAGGAGAGACAAGCTAATAATTTCTCACACTCTTAACTTTTCTGACCTCTTACCTCCATCCCAGCCCTCACACACCGGGTCACACTCTGACCCCCGACCTCCCATCTTTTCCTGCTGGTTGATCCCAGCGGAACCAGCAAGGAACAAGGTTGACTATCAAAAAAAGCATGGCAATTATTTCTTTTCTTTTCACATTTTGCTGGTACATCTCAATAAATTAAAATATTATTAAAAGTTGATTTATTTCAGTAAAAAAAAATTATTTCAGATCTTAAATTCATTGTAATAAGAGTGATATATTTCAAGCCAAGCATTACTGCAGTTAATAATGTCACCTTTTAAAAATATTGGCCTTAATCTCTTTTTCTAAAAGTGATTTTATTATTATTATTATTTATTTATTTATTTATTTATTTATTTATTTATTTATTTATTTATTTATTTATTTATTTATTTTTGCCCAGACAACTTTAGGCAAAAAAATGATTTAGGCCATTATTTTTGGAAGGTGACAAAATGTAATGACTTGTATGAAATCAAAATCAAAATTTCAGTTTACCAGAAATTGTTTTGCATGCAAATAATTTTAAAACTAATTTTTTTAATATGGAAATGTTGGCCCACTGAATGTATGTCTATGTATTATACAGTACATGCTGCCAGTACTTGTTTGGGGCCACTTCATGATAACCTAACTCGGTTTGCATGTGTCATGACATGGAGACAATTATCCTGTGTCACTGCTACAGTGAAAGTTCCTAGTGTTGTCACAAGGAAGGTGACTGCTGAGGCCCATTTTTCGGATACATCTGTGTGTGGTGTTTTCCTGAAGGACTGACTCCATCTGCCGTCCACAACCCCTCCAAACTGTTGACTGTGCTTTGCTTCATAAAACTGTGAAAGCTGCTGATATTTCTGTGGTTTGTGCATCTTTTGAACAACTACCTTTTTCATTCCAGAAATATTCCATTAATCCCAGACAGAAATAAAATGTTACAACACTTGGGGAAATATAGATTGCCATACGGTTTGTTATTGGAAAATCATCTCACTGTTCTAGAGGGGAGGGTGTTATCCAGACAGAACTTTAGATAGTCACACTCTCAGTCATGGTGTCGTCCTCTCCATGTGGCTGGCACAGCGCATCCCAATCCATAACCTCAAAACAACCCTACAGGGCTTCTTCAGCTTAAACTCCTTCTTAAACTTTTTTTTCATTACCTCTGAACAAGGGGCTTACATTCCAAGCAAAGACACAAAAGATGGTCATTTTATTTGCTAGGAAGAGGTCTTGCTTTGGAGATGCTTGAATCCTTGAGATTTGCATGAAATAAATCCAATATCTTACTTTCCCTAATAGAGCAGCTGACAAACTTTTGAAATGTCGAAAGTGTGGCAAGGAGTAAGGCATTGTTACAATCGCCAGATATTGTAACAAACTTACTGGGGTTGTCATGTCTGTTGTTTAGCAACAACTGAGCTGATGACGTCACATCCAGTAAGACTAGTGAACAACATCCAACACCAGAGGGAACAATCGCCTAAAAAAGCAATTTTTCTGAGTTACCTTGAGTGAATTGAAGATTTGTAGAATATTTTGTGAATTCCATCCTTGTTGAAGTTGCCTAGTTACTCTCTGGTGGACAGCTGCCAAGTTGTCACCAGTCTTCAACATGACTGTGTAGAACACAACATGGCCCTAGGATTTCTTAGGATTTTTTTTTTAAATTGGTAATATTCATATTTTGGGCCTACATTAGAAGCATAATCCACAAAGTCAACAGAAACAAACACTTGAAATATATCGCTATGCACATAATGAATCTGTGTAACAAGTTTTACTCTTGAAGTACTGAAATGAATGAACTTTTCTCATAATATTCTATTCTGCTGAGATGCTTAGAAGCCTAATTAAGCAGCTGCAACAAAAAAAGCAGGAAAAAATGGAAAACTCGATAAGTAAAGCAATGTTAATGAAGATGAGCAGGAATCTCATTTTTACAAAGAGACTGTCATCACAGTGGACGATGGTTATCACTGAGCTCTGATGTTCTTCACTGATCTCATTTGATAGAAAACGGGGATGATAGCAGCAGCGATGAGTCAGCCCAGAGTCCCTCAGCAGAAGGAACGTGAGTTAATGCTTCAAGAAAAACAGCTTCTTGCTTATTTTTTTTTTCTTTAAAGATGCTTCTATTATTGTGGGTTATTTTGAGGGTTGTCATGTCTCTTGTGTTTTTTTCTATTTTATGTTATTGTGGCAGTGTGTGCTGTAATTGATTTTTGATGTTGGAGTTTCTCCTGGTTTGTTTTGTATGAGTTCCTTTTTTGCTTTACTTGCGGTGAACCTTAAGTGCATTTCTTGATGTTTATTGCATTTCCTCTGTAGCACATTGGCGTCGGACCTTATGAAACTTTGTGGGGAGTCCAAAACAAGGAGCAAGGTACATTTCAATTATAGTCATAATGTCTGATTGATTATAAATGTTAGCTAGGCTTAATTTGTTTGGGTGGATTTTTCCACACAGGCCCGCAGGAGGACCACCACTCAGATGGAGCTTCTGTATGCAAACAGTGAATCTGCCGGTGATGCGCCCGCTGACTTCTCCGGCCCCATGCTGTCTTTGGCTGAAACCCCAGATGGAGGTGGAGTGGACATGGACTTGTCGGGCCCATCAGTCAGAGACTACACAGCTCTTTCCCCTGGCTTTTCCTCTAAAATGGGCAGCATGTAAGTCCAGGCCCAGCTCTCTTCCACATACAGGTTCAGCTCTACAGTTCTCTATGCTGCTGCATGGTGGAGACTGCAGCTTTATTAGTTTGGTTGCCTTTCTTTTTTCTTTTTTTAAAACACCTTCTGTTAGCCCAGCAGATATAAAAGCATGAAAAGATTTATAAATCAAAAAGAATGCATGCCGTGCAAAAACAAGCTCTTTACGGCTTTATCAGAACTAAAAGTAGAGATGCACCGGTCAGAGATTTTTAAGCCGATTTCCGATAAAGGGAAGAGCTGAAAATACACAATAACCTGGTGATGTAATGTGTCCCATTGTCACGACATATACACTTTTTTATTGTAAGATCATTTAAAAATATTTAACAACTTACGTTTTAGTTTGTCATCTCTTCCATTACAGGAGCCTTATAGTCTTTCCATCATGATTGATCAATAGTTATTTTTTATTAGGAGCAGAGGCTTGCAACCACTCTGGGTTTGAATAATATTTGAAAACAATGATAATTAAATTGTTGACATCTTGGATATTTTGTCTTTAGCTGTGTTTATTAGCATTTGGCATAGTTAGTATTACCAACAGCAATCCTTTTGTGTATTTCCTTTGCTGTGTAGTTTCTTTCTTTCTTTTTTTTTCTTTAAATTTATTTTTAAACACCTCACTGATACAGATAATAAACTTATAAAAGATTTCTCCGCTCCATAAGCAGGAAGTGGACTACAGTGCAGGGCATTCTGGGTAAATGCAACCATAACAAACTAGCGCTCGCTGAGAAAATGGCTTGTGGTCTTTTTGAGAAATCCTACAACCGCTAAAATCTGACATTACGCCATTTTTGTTTACGTTTCATGAAGAAGGAAGTTGTGCTCCGTGTCGTCTTCGTTTTCTTCAGTGGTTCTTGGTGCAGCGCCAACACAGGCGAGGAGGGGAACAGGTTTTTTAAAAGGTTTGAATCATTTTATGCAGTGTGGTGTGAAAGAGAAACACACCAGTTGGAAATGTAACAAATGTTGTCATTTTGGTCGCCAATCAAGCCAAATCTGCCTGACTATCAGGTGTGAAAACACCAACTTATCTCTCGGTGCATCTCTTGTAAAAATACTAACCAGACTGCTTTCTCCGTTTTTTAAATCCCTGCTTCAAACCAGTTGCACATTTACTTCCCAACACTTTCTAAAGATGCACCCCCACTCAAATTACTAGTTCCACTTTTGACTGCTAGAGCATAACAAAAACCTGAAGTGTCTTTATCAGTAAACATGGGCTTGGCCAGGAACACCCCCTCTGTTGGGCCTTACAGTACCAGGTAACTGTGTTTCTGTGTCCACTGCTGCATGCTCCATCTCTACGGCATTTTGCTTGGATTGAAGTGTCCCAACTGCTGCTTTGTAAATATTCTTGTTTGTGTTTCTGAACAATTGGTCCAACCGAACACTCAGCTCTGGCTCCAGAACTGTGTCAGGTTTGGAGAAGCGAACCCCAGAGCCGTCCCCGCTCTCTCGCAGGAAGACCTATGACAAGGCACAAGCAGCGGCTGACAGGGCAAAGGTCAAGGAGAATAAACAGTAAGAGCTTGTTGCCAGCATTTTGGCTGGAAAGCTATAAGAAGGTGAAGCTACAGTACCTTAACTCTACTAATACTCCTGTCAATTTCCTGCTGTCGAGAGGCATGAAGCGTTTCCTAAACCAGTTGTGCTCTGAACTCAACATGATTTTGCTCCCTAACCTTGAAATTATGACTCTTCCTTGAGTCATAATGACTCTTTTCATTCCTGCTGGCTCTGACTTTGGCCTATCACTCTGCATCTGATGCTCCTTGGATCTATATTTTGTTTCGAATTCACTTTTGTTTAAAAATGTTCTTTTTAAACATTCAAACCATCACAAAGTAGTCCATAGCTTCAAAATGGAAGGAAATTATACAGACCTGCATCAAATCTCTTCTATTCTGACGGCCCAAAATAAAATCTATTGAAGCTAACTCCCTACTGAAGGGGCAATATTGTGTACAATTAAGTAAATCATTTTTAGCTTTACATCATGTTATAATGTTATGTCCTCACCGGTAGTGTTGCTTTGATTTTTTTCATGCATCTTTAAGAAATTCTTTAATCTCCTGTAGCAACCATTCAGCTGTGTAAAACGTCTGGGTGGACCTAGCTCTGCCTTCCTGGATGAAGCTCCTCCTTTGAGCTGCAGCTTCCAAGATTATAAGGTTCCACCTCACAGAGCGCCTCTCCCCCTCTCAGCTCCTTCAGACTAGCCAGCAACAATTAGCAAACACCTGGTGGAACTGAGCATCTGCTGAGCTCATTATAGGAGCTCAGCTTATCAGTGCAACACTGACAAAAACGTTGTTAAAGGGTTTTAATAGAGGAGCCATGTTGTGATGACTTCCTGAAGGTGGAGTTTCAGAAAGGACAGGACTTTTTACAGAGACAGAGACCCAATTTCAATGTGTCATATTACACAGTAATATTTCTTCTAAGCCATTTTTGAAATCTATATAATTTTTTTAACAACCATTTCAACATAACTTTACATGATTGTGCTCTAAAATGACACTAACGTGTCTTGAAAATTACATAATACTGCCCCTTTATGAATGTTTTGATTCAATATTTTCTGACTTCCAGAAAGGTGATCCAATAATCACACAGATATAAATAACCACTCCTGAGGTTCCTGCCGTGGAACAGAAGCGGTTAAACAGTTTGTGTTTTGACCACTAAGCTAGCAGGACACCGACCAAAAAAAAGCCTCCAGACTGCAACATGACATTTACACTGGCACCAGCCTGAAGCTATCACTGACATTTCATACGGCAAATCTTCTTATTTGTCATCATTAATAATTTTCTTAGTGTGTCACAAACATTAGAGCTTCAGATAGGTTTTGGATAGGTTTCAGATTTTCATTTCACATCTGGAAACATCGGATAAGATCATGAGACGTTGCAGACCACCATTCAGGTATGAAAGATGGATTTATTTGAAGTTGACCTCATGTTTTGCTGGACCCAGACTCCCCCCCCTACCCCCCCGCCTCGTTTACCTTAAATAAAACATGAAGTGTGTTGTAGACAGACACTGCTGGCTGAGAGCCCATCCTAGCAGTGACGTTATTGTTTCATGTGTCTTCCCTCTTTTCTCCTGAGTGTAAACAGATTTGCACACCCTTCAATGATGCAGCAGCTGAACTGGGAAGTGTTGCTGACCTTTCCAACTCTGTTTTGGTGCCTAATTTCCCATTTAACATAAATATGTTGCATAACAAATTATGAAGTAGACATGGAACAGCATGACTATAGGACCTTGAAAAAGTTTTTTTATTTTTATGGGAATATTTGCAAAAAATAATGTAGAACATTATCTAATAGATTTGACTTAAAACAGATTGGTAACTTCATTTAAACGGTTAAAATGATATTACAGTAATAGTGTAGGACATTATTTTTCTTTTATTTTGGTATAATTGACAACCAGATGGCTGGTCGGAGAACACGTGTTGAGTCACTCTGTCACTAATTAGTTTCTATTCATTAAACATTTCTAGACAAATCAAGAATGGAATTCAACAAGTACTGAAATTAATTTCAAGTCTGTTTTAGGTGATGGAGAATGTTTTAAAAGATTTACTGTTGTTTTTTGTACAGATTTGGCTAAATAAAGTAAGATATATGACAAAACCTCAGCTGAATTTACTAGATTTTTGAGTAAATCACACAGAATAGTTCAGCTTATTCTGCTCTTAGAGGCTTGAACGAGCTGATCATAACTTTTTTAAGTTTGAAAGTGCGACTATCATGAAGACCTGTCTTAGAATGCAGAATTATTTCATTAGAAACAAAGAATTTGACTATAAAAATAATAAGGCAGCCAATGACGTCTCAGGAATGCTGGACTCTGTCTTCCTTTCCAGGATGCATGAATGCCCCACCCTGTTCTCCAACAGAATCCTCCACCTTCTTTCTTCCCTTCTCCATCAGCCCACAAAAGTACTGCCTTTAAAAAAAAAAAAGTTCTAGTAAAGTTTGACCCTTTGTTCCATCACTTGAGGTGGATTTGAACACAGACTGCCCTCTTTGGGGTTTCCATTCTCACTGCTGTGGTGTCTTTCTGTCACAGTGACACACTAAACCAGCTAATGCGATTAACGTCATTTATCTCGTTCTGCTTAGGTGTGTTTCAATTGTTTTTCCTCTCGGCACAGCAAAGATTTGTCCTCCATTTGTGTGTTAATTGGCTCTGAGACCTTGCATGTCTTTGGGTGTGTTTTCTTTCTCTTCTCCTCTCTGATAATTGGGCTGCACGGTGACTTGTTAGCTGATCGCTATAGTGATGTGCGCATGTGTTTTTCAGGGGCGTCATCAACCCAGTGCCGTCCACTAAGAGCAGCCGCTCGGCGATGTTGCAGTGCGTTCACGTGGCAGAGGGACACAGCAAAGCCGTGCTGTGTGTAGACTGCACCGACGACCTTTTGTTCACCGGATCCAAAGGTTAATGCTTCCAGTTCTCACTCCTCTTGGTTGTAACTGTCACATCTCTCATCAGGACTCCATTCATGTCTCCATGTTGCTCCCCTGTTCGTCTATTAGTGCTTGACTCCTTGTTAAGCTGTTATATAAAGGCTGACAGGGCTGAAGGCTGTGGATAAATGAAGTAATGAAACAAAATGACTTTCTGTGTAAAAGGAAAAGTCTCATCCTGAAGAGGCTTTTCAACATAATAAAAAGAGACTCATCTTATTCTAGAACAGCTCACTCTGTTCCCACTAATTATTAATAGTGAAAGAGTTAAATGTTTTTATCATTTAACGGTTTTAACGTCTATATTTGCTGCATTGTTTTTTTGTTTTTTTTAGTTCTGTAGTTCTGATGATCTAAAACGGTGGCAGCATTAACAGATCTGGATCCTCTTGCAGACCGGACCTGTAAAGTGTGGAACCTGGTGACGGGTCAGGAGATAATGTCCCTGGGAGGCCACCCTAACAACGTGGTGTCGGTCCGCTACAGCTCCAGTCTAGTCTTCACCGTCTCCACTTCATACATCAAAGTATGGGACATCAGGGACTCGGCCAAATGCATCAGAACTCTAACGTAAGCAGGAACGTCAATGTGTTCGATTCCCGCTAACGCGCCAATACTGGAACTAACTTTGAAAACATTTAGTGCACTTAGCTTCCCCTAAATACAAATTTTCCAGATAAATTATAAGACTGTAATTTACATTCAGCTGACGAAAGTTTGACATCTGTGTTGAAATCTCGGTTATCAGCTGTTGACAATGGTTCAAGTAGTTAGACTTTTACTTTTATGTTCTTATTTTAAAGTGGGTGAAAACTGTTTACTCAGCAGTTTTGTTTCCCCTCCTCAGTGTTTGTTTTTTTTTCCTGGAAAAAACTTTCTTAAGCAAATGGCATGTAGTATATAACAAACGAATGAATGAGCTATGCAAAAGAAAACAACACTTACATGAACAAACAGCCAGGGCTAATAATTAAGTTTCCTCGCGTTCTCCTCATGAAAAATGGTTCACTTTAGCGCTTTAGCTTCTGCAAAATACTATGTGAACATAGCCGTTCAGTGTTGGTGGAGCTAAGGTTTATGATGAGTGTTTTAGGGTTAGCGCAGCTGTCTTTTTAGTCGGCGGTGCCCACCACTCTCCCTTGTGCTGCTTGAAAAAATTCGAACATGCTTGTCAGCAAAATGTTTTAAGAAATTATCCAAGAAACTTTGCTAATATAAGTTAGAGCAACATTTAATTTAGCCTTGAGGTTAAGAAAGTATTTTTGAATTGAATTTAATATCAACCGTCTCACATGACAATCCCATGTTAGAAGGTTGGGGCGAAATATGACAGAACCTGTTCAGTGAGCTGAAAATGTTCTGGTCACAGATATTCATCAGTTCCCATCTGTGTGTCCAGATCCTCTGGTCAGGTCAATGTTGGGGATATCTGTGCATCTAACACCAGTCGGACGGTCACCACCCCGTCAGGGGAAAACCAGATCAACCAAATTGCTCTCAATCCCAATGGGATGGTCCTCTATGCTGCTGCTGGAAACTCAGTTCGGGTGTGGGATCTGAGGAGGTGAGCTGCCTTTACACTTCTCTTCTAATCCACTGATGTATGTTGAATTACCTTCTCAGGATGTCCACATGCATTTGTGTATCTAAAATGAAGGCCCTAAAATGTCTTGCATTTATTTTGTAAAAATCTAATTTGGCCTTGAGTCCCAGTAATCCCAGCTCTTAAATGTTATGGTGGCCAGACTATTTAATCTTGTATGTTCTATGTTTTTTATTTTTCTTTCCGGACCTGTCTGTCAAACGTTTGCATCTTTATTGCGCTCTGTGTTTTGAGGCTCAAACAATTTCCTTCTCTAGACAAGACTCACCCCAAAAGATTTGCACCTGGAATTGTAAAGTTTTCTCAATGTCCATTTGTCACATTTTCCAGATTTTCTTTCCAAAAATTAAGATTGGTATCAATTTCTAACCACTTCAATTATACATTTTCTGTTGGTCTGTAACACAAAATCCCAACAAAGTACTCTAAGATTTCGGGTGGTAGAGTGACAAAACATGGAGATGTTTAAGAGACTTGACGTTTGATTGTTTTCACCGCTTAAACGACTTAATTCAGACTGAAAACCAGACAGAATCCAATCTCCAGCCTCCATCAGTTACTGTCCGCCGCCTGCTGTTGGCTTTGATGGATTGCCTGTTTATCCATTGTTGGAAAATAAATCTGTTAATAGCCGTCACCCTGGATGAGTAAAACAACATGAGATGGAAATATTCTGTCATTTTCTGAGCGCAAATAGTCAAACTTGTTCTCTGAACTTTAGGAACGAGCTACATTTTCCAAAGTGTGCTGTATAAACCTCCTGCTGCGTTGGTGACATTTTCCCCTTTGTTGTACGATGAATAATAATGTAATCAGATTTCCTGTTGGCTGTCTCTTTGTGGTTCTGGGAGGAACAGTTGAGTGGCAATGCGTTTAATTTTTGCTCAGGTTCGTTTCCACCGGAAAGCTAACGGGTCACCTGGGTCCTGTCATGTGTCTGACTGTGGATCAGTCTGGAAACAACCAAGACCTGGTGATCACTGGGTCCAAGGATCATTACATTAAGGTGGGTTTCTTTGCTTGTAACATAATACAGTCTGACTCAGCCTTCTGATGGGCGTTTGTTTTCTTACTGACAACTAGCATTTGATAGAAAAAACCCAGTAAAAATCCAAAACAGCAGCCAGTTGTTCAAAAGTCTGTTGCTGTTGCAGCTGTTCGATGTAAGTGAAGGCTCTCTGGGGAGCGTCAGCCCTGCGCACAACTTTGAGCCTCCCCACTATGACGGTATCGAGTCACTGGTGGTCCAAGGGGACATTTTCTTTAGCGGTTCCCGCGACAACGGAATCAAAAAGTGGGATCTGGATCGCAAAGACTTGCTGCAGGTACACAATGCCAATCCCTCAAACAGTCTGTTCAAGAGGCTGCTTTAAGATAGCTGCCTGAACGCTGTTATTATGAATTGCACCGTTAGAATAATAAAATGTGTCATTGTCATTCGTAGCAAGTCCCAAATGCTCACCGTGACTGGGTTTGCGCCCTGGGCATCGTCCCCAGCTCCCCGGCCCTGCTGAGTGGCTGCAGAGGAGGGGTGCTCAAGCTCTGGCACACAGACACACTGGGGCCTCTGGGGGAGCTCAAGGGTCATGAGAGCCCCATAAACAGCATCGCTGCAAACAGCAGCCACCTGTTTACAGCCTCCGAGTAAGTCCAACACACACACACACACACACATGCACAAACACACACATGCTTTGGCTGCAGTGAGCTTAGAGAGTCAGTTTTCTGTGGAAGAGTTTGGGCCAGTTTGTGTGGAATACAACTCAAGCTGCCACTGAATGGCTCCATTTTAGATTATGTTACTTTTGATTGCTTCACTTTTTTTAACCACTTTTTTAACATCTATTGAGCTACAGAGTGAGGGATGGGGGGGGGGAAATCAAACAGTAATCAGGTTTAGTTTCATGTTACAGAATCCAACTCATGAACTTGTTGCATATATTCCAAAGTTATTATTATAAAGTTATCTAAAACACTACAGCAGGGGTCCCCAAACTACGGCCCGCGGGCCGGATCCGGCCCGCCTCCACATTTGGTCCGGCCCCCTGAACAATACTAGAGAGCATTCAGATTTTTTTTTCATATATTGTATTTTCCGGTTTATATGTGTATTTTTTCTTCAACCACCAGGGGGCTCTTTAGCAGGAAGTGTGTCCTGTAAACTGTGGGTGTTTTGTTTTGCATGGCACATTGCTGCCTCTGTTGGACTTTTAGGCAACTGCTTAATTTTTATGTTATTTAATCAGTACGGTTGTTTGGTAGCAGTAGAGCAGATGAACAAACATCTGTTATGAACGCCGCATTCCAGGTCGAGTTCTTCGAAGCAATTCCCGTAAGTAGCAGCTTATATTTCAAAACGAGCCTTTATGTTAACATATGATAAAAGAAGCAACTTGTTTGTTGAATTAGTTTTGGAAATACCTGCGGGCGATTTGATTATGTGCTACGTCATTGCTAACTAGCAGGCTGCTAAGATTTCTTAGGTCGTTATGTAGCATTGCAGCTCATAGCATTCTGAGGTAGCTGTTGTATCAGTTGTACTTCTAATGTAACTGAATGTAAAAACGCTTCTGTTTGCTGTTCTGAGCTCATCCTGAGTTGTTTGTGTTTTGACAGTTTCACTCCATTCTACATGGAAATAAAGGAAGAACTAATTAATCCTGACTCGTGTGAAAAGAGTTTGGCTGATGGTTAGTTTTGGTACAAGACACCATAGCGAGACCATTACAAAGTGAATCATTGGAAGTCAAAATTGGAAATAAAAGAAGAACGTGCCCATTAAAAAAAAATTAAGTTTTAATAGGGAATTGAAATTTGAGAATGTTGTTGATCAGTTAAATAGCATTGAGGGGAAATGCTATTTAACAGTCTTTTAATACTGGGATTATTGTGAGAATTTGAGGTATAGATATTAGGATCCAGTAGATGGCAGTAGTGCAACAATAATGGATTCAAGCTGCTGTTGAAATCTAAAGAAGAAGAAGAAGGAGACCCTTTTCATTTAGCACATGCTAGTAGCAGACATGAAGGATCAGCACTTTTACTGTTACAGTTACTGTTCGGAAACTACCGTAATCAGTTCTGTTAAATCTAAACTTAGCAACTTTTTCTTTTTCAACCGTAATAAATGTAATATTCAGTTGACCTGTTACGACTCAAATGTTGGCTGTCCGCCCCCCTCTGCTGCTGCTGCATCACTGTGGAAAACCTGGAGCAGCATAGATATCTGCGACTTATATGTGTATGTTTACTGGTTTAA